AGGTAGGGGCTGGGGGCGGGCTGGGAGCTCCAGAGGTGGGTGGGGTCACCGTTTGCGCAGGTACTTGGAGCCCTGGGAAGGAACAGATCGTCCCCCTCTAGACTCCTATTCATCAAGACGCCCCAAAAGGCGAAAAGCTGGGGTCCCTGCTGCAGGAACGGACGCCCACCTCCCGGCAACAGCGAGGGCCCCGAGCCCACCTTGGCAGCGTTTGGGGAGAGCCCGACGGGCTGAGAGCGCTCGGACAAACCAGGGGAAACAGCCGTCGGGTGAGGTAGACCTGCCCTTGCTGCTTGAGCGCCTGTGTCATGGGAGAGGGAAGCACGGGCCTGACTCATGATGGACTAGAATGTGGTGGAGACGGTGACTGAACCGCACCAGGCTCAGGCCAGAGAAAGTGCAGCGTGCCTTTTTTGGTTTCTAAAGAGGTGACCAGTGTGGTAACAACCATCAGTTGGACGTTTTTCAGGCATGGCACAGTTTTGGGGGTTTTTTTGGTAGAGAGGAAGGGCTTCTATATCTTGGGACAAGGTATCTTAACTCACTGTGTTAAATCTGATTCTGTGAAAAAGTTGAAAGTTAACTTGGGCCTGGCTGGCCGGTGTGGCTTAGTGGTTGAATGTCACCCAGGAACCAGGTCACGGTTAGATTCTCTGGTTTCGTGCTTGATCCCCGTTAGGGGGCGTGCAGGAGGCAGCCAATGGATAATTCTCTCCCAGCGATGTTTCTATCTGTTCCCCTCTCCCTTTCTCTGGGGAAAAAAAAAAAAAGATTAACGGGAGCCCTAAGGTGTATGAGGATCTTTGGAGAGTTCCCGTTCCTGGGGAAATGAGCCTGCCCCATCTCTGCACACAGATCTGATTTGTCTAGATCGGTGCTGTTCAGTATGGCAGCCACTAGCCATGCGAGACAACAGAGCACTTGAAAGGAGGTGTGCTCTAAGTGTAAAATACAGGCTAGGCTTTGAAGATCTCAAAACATTTTATATTGATTACACGTTGAAATAACTTGGAGATATTGGATTTACTACAGTGGATTAAAATTCATTTCACCTGTTTTCGTTTTTGTTTTTTTTTAATACAACCACTAGAAAATTTAAAGTTATGTTTGTGGCTGGCATTATATATTTTATTGGAGAGCTTTGGTCTACACTTAGGAATTCAAATTGCTTTTCTGCAGTTCTCTGTTGACTTGGAGCTTTCTTTTTATTATTGATTTCAAAAAGAGGAAGGGAGAGGGGGAGAGAGAGAGAAACATCAATGATGAGAGTCATTGATTGGCTGCCTCCTGTAGGCCCCTATGGGGGATGGAGCCAGAAACCCTGACCAGGAATCAAGCCTCCTGGTGGCAACACTCAACCACTGAGCCAGGCAGGCGGGGCTGACTTGGAACTTTGAAGATAGAAAAGCCAAATGTTGGGCTCAGAATTCACCAAACTCTTTAATCTCTACATCATAGCATCCACCTCACATCTCTCCATTGCCTTAAGTATCTTATGCTGAGTTTATCAAATACCTTGTTTGCCCCTCTTACCTCCCCTCAAAAATTGAGGCTCCCTTGGCATAGTTTGATCTTTGTGAAAGATCCAGTAAGATGAGAATTTGATAGTTGGGGAAGGTCTTTTCCTGTGAGTGTGAAATTATCCTTTAGACAATCATGATAAGCATTTCTGGATGAAATTATAAGTTGTAAATATTTCTACCCTCAGTTTTCATGGAATTTAGGAATCATGAGCCTTATTTAGACTTTTTTCTTCAGATTGCTTTTAGGTTCAAAATCAGCTTGCTTAAAATGGAATGATAGAACTTATATTATGAAAATAGAATAAAGAATAAGAATTTCCAATTAAATCATGTCTATGCCAATATTCAAAACCTAAAAAAAAATGGTAGTCATCCAGACCTATTTGAAAACTTTCCTCTTTAGACCCCACCCATACATAGCCTTGTCTTTTGTACCAGAAAATACTGCAGTGTGCCACAGATTGATAAGAGGGAAATATAGAAATGGCTGGAAGGCAAAGAAGGAGAATATTTTAGTAATCCGGCACAGTTTGTGTAGTAGATGTCTCCCTGGTCCTTGTGCTTAGAATAAGGCTTAGTTCCATGCCCTGTCCATTATTTAGAATCTCCTAGACACACCTGTGTCTTCCTCTATGGCAGTGACTACACCTGGCACCTCCCTGCATCCTCTAGTTACTACAAGTTCATGGCAGGAAACACGAAGGGTTCCTTCTTCACCAAGACTAGTCCACTGTTCTCTTTCCTAATGCAAAAGCCCAGGAACCCTTACGGTCCTTCCTTTTGTTTGTTTTGTTCCTTGAGCTGCTTTTCTTCTGCAGACTTAAGAGAGGGGCATGTTTCTCCAGCTTCCCTCTTTCCTGCCTCCAAAGATGCAGGGGCTTTGTTCTAAGGATTTTACAGATAATTACCAAGGGAAAACAGGATAAAACAGAAACATGGAGAAGTTAAAAAGCTTTTTCAGTAAAGCTTGTGCAGTAAATGTGCTTAGATCTGTGCCCTTACCCTTGGGATCTCTTTAAGGAAAATTTTTCTCAAGTATGTCCTTTCTATTTTGGGTATGCAATCTAGGCAGAACTTCAGAATATTTTCTGAGTTGTTTCAGATTTTTTTTAAACTACAGAACTAAAATAAAACCAGGTATTCATTAAATGTTCATGTTTTCTCATGTTACTGTCACTTTATGCAGATTTATTGCTCTGTGCAGTGCTGACCCTTACTGTTAGATATTTTTAACAGACAATAAGCAAAAATGTTTTCTGTTACTAGGAAGAAAGTGATTGATCATTCAGAGGCTTTTTGGGGTATAATACCTAGCAGTATGGAGCAATTAATAGTGCTAAATTGGAGTAAGAGAGTCGTGTGTTTTACTGATTAGAAAACACTTAGGTCAACATCAGAGTTAGTGGGTAGTGCAAACCTAGGTAGGTCTTTCTAGTGGCAGAGTTTGTGCTCTTAGCTACTAGGTTGCAATGACATCATTGTCCCATGTTTGTAAGTAAATAATATGAACAATAGATTTTTTCCAGTGGGCAAAGAAATAGATAATGTTTTTAACCTTATTTGCTTATTAAAATGAAATTTTTCTTGGCATCCTTTGAATGATTATGTTTTTATCCCAGTGTTAAGAAATTCCAGAGACTCTTAATTCTCTAAGCCTTGGTGTTTAAGGCACTGAATGAACTTCTTAATGAGAGTTTCTTATATACCTGTGCTTTTCAGTAAAGTGATCAACCACATGTAGCTATTGAGCATTGAAAGGTGGCTAATCTGAATGGTGGTAGAAGTAAACTACCTGCCAGATTTTGAAAACCTGTATGACAAAAAGAATGTAAACTATCTCATTAATTTTTAAAATGATGACTGCACATTGAAATGATAATAGCTTGGATATGTTAGGTGCAATAAAATACTAAGATTAAATCCACCTGACCTCTGTCTGGGCAGCCTGGGCAGCTTGGGCCTCCCTGCCAGGAGCCTTGAAAGAAGACTCAGGACACCACGTGTGGTGAAGGGGCTGAGGGGAGTCCACATCTGATGTCACCTGGCTGACCCCCAGATGATCCCAGAAGCGTGGTCTGTCTCATATATACCTCCACCTCTACTTCCCAGGGCTCACAAACACCATGTGCAATTTGTGACAGAGAATCCTATTAGCATCCTGTCCTTGGAAACTCATTCTATTCTTTAAGCCTGGCCAGCTGCCTGCACAACACAGAGATGCCACCAGCCCAATTTAGCCACGCACATAGTTTTGCCAGTCACCTTGGCACTAGTTGAACTATTTTAACTAGAACATTGCCTCTCTGTCCCACTTATTTCCTCAAACTTGTCATTTTTATACTAGATACATGCAAAGGTATGTTTTTAGGCACATCAGAATGGAACCTGCCAAATACGTGCCTTTCAGAAGCTAAAGAGGAGGAGGGGGTTTGGAGTTGTCTCCTGCCTTTCTACTTGCCTGTGGTTCCTCAGCCCAGGGCTGTGGCTTCCCGCCTGAGGGAGAGCCCCAGGACCACTAGTTGTCACAAGCACTTTTTCATGACGTCCTAAGAGAAGTCAGTGTAGCAACTGAAGGAGGATCAGGAATTTAGGGTGAGACCACAGCCATGCTTCCAGGGTGCCGAGGGAAAAGCAGGAGGACACAGTGATTGTATGCAATGAAGTGTTTCTCTCCATTTAATTAAATGCAGTGTATAGTTTAGTGCGTATATTCCTACTTTTCATTAAATTAACTATTTCTAAAGCATATTTTGATTTACCATCAAGAGCAATATAGCATTAAATCTTATTTAAAAAAGGATTAATTTCACCTGTTTGTTTTTACTTTTTTACTATAGTTACTAGAAAATTTTTACATATGTGGCTTCCATTATATTTCTGTTGGATAATGCTATCCTAGCAAGCATGAATGTAACATAAGAACATAATGTCATAGAATAGATGCAGATATACAGATACCCACCTGCTATGGTTAATGGTCACCTTGGGAGCCTGTATATAATTCCAATGCTGCTTCCTTTACACAAAGTATTTTGGGGATGATTTTGAACTTCTGTGCCAATTTTGTAACTTTACTGGAACACCAGCTTCACTTCATAGTTACTTGAAACAATTTTATAGTCATTCTGAGTAAGGTTTTAAATATTTTAGAGGCCAGTGTTCACTTGGATTTATCAATTTTGATACACTAATTTAAAAGGCATGCCTTGTACCAAATGGTATCCTGATAAAAATGATCAGTCTAAGTTTTACTTGTTATTTAGCATGTTTATATCCTAATACTTTGTAGAAGGTTGTAGAAATATTTTAGCCTATATAAAGTCAATCCCGTAAAATACCAAACCTCAGGAAAAAGACCAAAAATAAGTTTTAAGGTACGTGTATATGTTTTCAATAAAAATATTTTCCTCACTGAATGGTAACAAATTTCAAAACTGTTTTCAGACATTTTCTTTGGTTGAAAATGGAAGACAATTGTCAGAAGGGATACTCTTGGAAGAAATACTTTTAAATTTAAATTACTAATAGGAAATACTTTCACAAATCTATGAATATGAAAATGCACAGATTTGACTGAGTCCCTGAAATACTTTGATTAGAATTAAAAATGTATATTTGTTGAAGATACAAAGTTAAAGACTACAAAATCTTATGTGAGTTTCCTTTTATGTGAGTTTTTTTTTTCCTGAAAAAAAAAAAAAAACTTAACTTTTTCTAAACCATTGATGTACTTTCATTTCTTTTTTCCCCCTAAAGCTCAATGAAGAATTTTGGCAGTATAACACCTTCCAGTACTGGAGGAATCCTTTACCACCGATTGATCTGGCAGACATTGAAGCTATAAGTGAAGATAACCTTACAGAAGCAAGGCTTCAGGGCAAGAATGAAGTGGTTGAGATTGACATGGAGTCCTGACAGAGGAGCTGAAGAAATAGGTTTTTCTGAATTTGAAATTCTAAATGAATTTATGTATTCTTAGGAAAAAAGTTATTTTCCATATTTTATGTGATTTCATTCCCAAACCTGAAAAATGAGGAAAAGTTGTTTTAAAGATAAATGCCTGCGGTCACTACTGAAACTCCCAATAGGATTTGTCAATAATAGACTGCAGTTATAGGGGAAGTGTTTTATGTATATGTTCTTAAAGAAAAATTTATGTTTAGGTTCTAAATTTGAAGATGTCAATATTATAAATAGGAATTCTGACAGTTTAAGAAATTGGAAACACTCAAATAGCCCTCTGCAACAAAATGTTAATTTGTGGCACATGAAATGAATGTTTTATAATAACTTAATAAAATGCTTTTTAATATACTTTATTGACTCTTCCTAGTTGAACAAATAGCCGACCTAAACATCTATGCAAACTTAAAATGTGGGGGATTTTTCTGAAAGCTGGTGTTGATTTAAAACAGCTGTCTTTAAAAAAGAGCTTTCTAAATGTAAAGTAGTGAGAATTTCAATGTGGATAGCATGTTTGCATTAACTTCTAATATTTGATGTTTGTTAAACTCTACTTTGAACTATCAAAAATGGATGAAGAAATGAGAAATGAGCAGGTGCTTCCCTCCCCGCTTTCCCAAGATAAATGAAAGAAATTCATTGTATTTCTTTTTTTAAAAATGTCTTAGTTTTGAATTGCCTTGAGGGCATGGTTTTTATTAAATTGTTCTTATGTGGCCCTTACATGTAGCTGTTTTTTTAAAGCACCAATTCTTCTTCCTCCCTGCATTCCAGACAGGTTTGAGGACCACTAACTAAAGGTAGTTTTTCCTGTTGAAAGGAAATAACTAATTTGAGCTGAAGCAATGCCTCTTAATTAGCTTTGTTTTTATTTTACCCTATTGATGGCTTTGTTACAACGAAATTATTCTGTAGTTACTATTACATTGTTAAAGTAAGCAGTTTGTGTTTGAGTTATATGAATATCAGTGATTAAGTTAATTAACTTGTATTGTATTCTAGAATGTTGGCTTTTTAATTGAGTAAGTTGTCCTTGTATATTTTTTGTTAATGATATTCAAAATTCAGGAAGGATGATAAATGCCAGTGAGAGGGAAAAAGAACGTTTCGTGTGTACTGTAGGATTTAAATATGGTTGACGTTAATAAGAATTTTATAGAACAGAAGGCAAACTGTATAGTATTGTGGTTAAGAGTTAAGACTTTGGAGTCAGACATGGTTCAAAGTCTTGTACTGCCACTTTCTACCTGTGTAACATTAAGCAGGTTATTTTTCATCTCTAAACCCCAGCTTCCTTGGTTGTAAAATAAGAAACAATAAATAGTATCTACCTCAGAGACACTATGTTTATTGTCAAATGATGTACTGAGTACTTTACCTGCATCATCTTGTTTAATTTCATAATATTCTTGTTGTAGGTACAAAAAAAAAATTAGAATAAATGTGCTTTCTATAGTTGCTCTTCATTCCACTTTCAATTGCTACTGGATGTTTCAGGAATTGGAATTGAAGAAGTAGCAAGGATAGCAAACATATGGAGGAGCAAAGTACTGTGGGAAAAAATGGTAAATTTTCTGGGGGAAAAAGTAAACTAACCCCTTTCTGGGTATGATAGGAAAGTCCATTTTTGTTCATTGCTCTTCTAGTGCCCAGAACAGTGCCTGTCACATAGTAGACAGTCAATAAATATTAATGAATGAATGGACATTCTTATCTGTTGGTGTAATACCAGCAGTTTTCTAGAAACATTTACAAAGCGAGGCCATTTTCTCAAAGATGTGTGTACCAAAGGTTTGTTGCAGAGATCAAATAGGAAAACATTGGAAATATGCTAAATTTATTCTATAATAATGTATTATATAATATAATAATGTAAAGACTTAAGTCACCAAAGTGAACAATAGGGGGTGATTATTTGACTAGAATCTCATAGGTCATCACACTGTAGTCTGAATGGGAGATTCAAAGAGTAGCTCAGACAAATTTTTAAAGCATTATATGTCATTAAAACCAAAAGGTAAATATTCAGGGAAAATACTTGCTTTTAACATGTTAGAGGTTTTATATTTTTTAAGTAAGTATGTATATTTTAATGTAAAGATGTATACATATGTGCTTAATATGTAAAATATAGATAATATATAAAGGTAGGGCATGTTTGTACATACACTAATATAAACACACAGATTTGAAATAATTCCATTCTTTAAAGTTTATTGCAACCAGAGCAGCAATGGGTAGCGGCAGTTCCAGTTAAACCCCCTGAACCTGTCCCAAGACTCCCTTTTCTCTGACTTCTTAGCCAAAAAAGCCCAGCCTAGGCTCATTTCCCCACCTAGTCCCCCATTATCCTAGTCCCTTTCTTGTTTCACTGTCCCCAGCTTTAATAAACGTCCTCTAAAATTCAGAAAGAAAAAAAGTTTTAAGTAAACCTCAGGTAACTTGGCAAAATTGCACTGTGGTTAATTGAGATGGAAATTAAAGGTAGGGTTTTTCTTTGTTTTAAGTTGTATACCCTTTACCCAGATTTCCTAATATAGCATCTTACCACAATATGATTATAAAAATGTGGAAATTTTAACATTTTAACTATGTGAGCATGGAAAGCATGACTTCAGACAACTCTTAAAGGGTCTGTGTCAAAAACCTACAGAACCTGTAGGCTGTATTCAGATTTTACCATTTCCTCATTAACATCCTTTTTCTGACTCAGGATTCAATCCATGGTCACCTGTTATATTTAGTTTTAGTATTGCCTTAGTCTCCTTTAATCAAATAATTTCTCGGAATTTCTTTGCTTTTCATGACCTTGGTACTTTTTGAAAAGTTACTTTGTAGGATGGCCCTCAATTTCTGTTTGCCTGATGTTTCTCAAAATTACGCATTTTGGGTGAGAACATAGATGTGACGACATATCTTCAGTACATTGTACCAAGATGCAGAGGTGCTGATGTCAACTTGTTCCATTCTTGGAGATTGTAACCAATTACTTGGTCAAGGTGGTGTCCGCCAGGTTTTTCTGTTGTGTAGTTACTATTTTCTCCTTTGATACTTTGAGACTATGTAAATACCCATTTCTCATTATATTCTGCCCACAAATTTTAGGATCTACTGATGCTTCTTGCCTGAAATACTTAACTGTTCTGGTATATGTCAAACGGTAATTTTTTATTTCCATCATCCTTTTTACATTTATTATTTGGAATTCTGAGAGCTTTTCTTTTACCTCCATTTCTTTATTCAATTATATCTATATAGACTAATGTGTATATATTTTATGAGTTATAATCCATTACTATTATTTGGTTGCAGAAATTATCCCAGATTTAACCATTGGGAGGCCCTTCAAGTTGGCTCTTGTGCTCCCCCCTCCCCCAAACATTTTNTATATCTGTATAGACTAATGTGTATATATTTTATGAGTTATAATCCATTACTATTATTTGGTTGCAGAAATTATCCCAGATTTAACCATTGGGAGGCCCTTCAAGTTGGCTCTTGTGCTCCCCCCTCCCCCAAACATTTTATTACTTACTGTGTGAACACTGGTTAACATTGGCAGTGCACTCTTGCATTTACAAGGTTCATTGATCGAAAACGAGTAGCTGTGCAACACTTAAATTTACTAAACAATTTGAGCCTTGCCATTTTCTTCGGAAAATGGGGACATTACTCACCTCAGAGGAGCAGAGTGGGATAAAACTACATAAAGGCTGTGGGGAACCCATAGTGTGCAGTAAGTATGTTTCTCTCTTGAAATGCTTGTTTTCACTATCTTTCTAATAGATGATACATACATACATACATACATAAACTGTTAGTGATCTGTGAAAATACCTGAAGTTGATTGAGGTTACTTTGAAAGAATTTCAGTGTTTTGTTTTAATATATCTTTATTGATTTCAAAGAGAGGAAAGGAGAGGGGGAGAGAGAGAGAGAAACATCAATGATAAGAGAGTCACTGATCGGGTACAGCCCGCAACCCGGGCATGTGCCCTGACCAGGAATCGAACCCCGATTTCCTGGATCCTAGATCGACACTCAACTGCTGAGCCACGCCCAGCCGGGCAAGAATTTCAGTTCTTGAATTATCTGGAGTCCACAGACCTAAACAATAATACTCTAGCAATTTATTGATTGTTTTATCTTGTGTTCTTTTGATATGACCCTGTGGCAGGCAGAATTCTAGGATGGGTGCCAAGATTGCCAGCCCCTGGTGTAACATCCAGTTATTCTATCAAACACTAATATAGGCATTACTGTGAAGAATTTTGCAGATGAAATTCAAGCCAATTAACCTTAAGAAAGGGAGATGATCCAGGTGGACCTGACTTAATCATATGAGCCCTTTAGATATGGGTGGAGAGATCAGAGACAGGAAGTTAGAAAGGTGCAAAGTGTGGGAGAGATTCAGTATGAGAGTATTTCTTTGGGCTTTGAAGATGGAAGGAGCCATGTGGTAACCTCAGAGCAGCCTCCAGAGGTTGTATCCCCATGACCAGCGAGCAAAGAAGCAAGGACCTCAGTCCTACAGCCTCAAGGTCTGAACTGTCAGCAACCTGAATGAACATGGAAGTAGATTCTTCCCCGGAGCCTTCAGAAGGAACACAGCCCAGCTGGCACCTTGATTTCAGCTTTGTGATACTCTGAACAGAGAACCTTGCATGTCAAGTTGGACTTCTGACCTACAGAACTGAGTTAATAAGTTGATGTCTTTTAAGCTGCTAAGTTTGTGGTAATTTATTACACACCAATTGAAAACAAATACAGACCCAACTTTTTTTTCTTTCTTTTTTTTGTCACTTTTTTTTCTCACTTCCTTACCTTCTCACACAACATGTTCTGGCGCAGGTATTTCTCTTGTTATAATTCCCCCATCCTACTCCTGGAATCATTTCTCCAAAAGCCCTGATTTCTTTGTTGAAGAATGGTATTTAGAAATGAAGATTGAGTGCAAGATCTGCTCGTTGGTATTGGGTATCATTGCTTCTAGGTCCTCTCAGCTGACAACGATAAAACGTGTTTGTGTATTCAACTATATGTATTTCTATATCTGTCTGCTTGTGTCTGTATTTTTGACACACGAGTTCAAACTGATACTCTTAACTACAGTCCAACACCACAGGGTTCAGTCTACCTTCCCCTCTTTCCTTATTTATAATTCCTTTAACCAACAGTGAGACTACTGGACTTTATATCCACAATATATTTATTTGCTCAATCCTCAAATATTCATAACATAGTTTGGAAACTTAACTCACACTTCTATAAAAGACAGTCCTGCTAATTACAGTGAAATATCTGTATACACTTCTTTCCATCTTTAGCCTTTGGATAGTCAATTAAAATATTGTTTTCCAAAGTTACTTAGGTTGAAATTTTGCCATGTAGCAAAGGCTTTGAGAACTAAACCACAATATAAACTTCCAGCCATGTCCCGCACTAATGTCTGAGATGCATGCATGGGACAGGCCCAAAGCAGCATAGCCAAGTGTTTGAAAGCTAAACTGACATTAGAGCCATGGCCACAGATGAAGAGACAGAACTTAAGAATCTAAACCAAACTGGGTTGAGTACCTGTTTTAAATAAATTAACATCCTCTAGAGAATTTTAACAAGACCCAAAGTTTCACAACATAATATTCAGGACACAGTGCAATACTTGACATGCAAAGAATTAGAAAAATATGACCAATTTTCAAGGGGAAGACAACAGATGCCAATTCCAAGATGATGCAAACTTTAGAATTATCAAAGATTTTAAAGCAGCTATTAAAACCATGCTATATAAAGAGAATGAACTGAACAAAAACAGTTTTTCTCAGAAGAGAAATACAAACTATAAGAAATGAAACAAATGGAAATTTTAGAAGAGAAAAATACAATATCTGAAAGAAAAGATTTTAGTAAATGTGCTAAGTAGCAGAATAGAGATGATCGAGGAAAGAATCTGTGAACTCGAAGATAGATCAATAGAGATTCTCCAATCTGAAAAACAAGGAGAAAAATGATTTTAAAAATGAACAGAGCCTTGGCCTAGCTGGCCTGGCTCAGTTGTTAGAGCGTCGGCCACGGAATGAAGGGTCTCGGCTTTAATTCCAGTCAAAGACGTACCTCGGTTGCAGGCTTGATCCCTGGCCTGGTCGGGACATGTGCAGGAGGCAACCAATTGATGTGTCTCTCTCACATTGTTGCTTCTCTCTCTCTCCCTCTCCCTTCCACTCTCTCTGAAAAGCAATGAAAAAATATCCTCAGGTGAGGATTAAAATAATAATTAATTAAAAACAAACAAATACCTTCCAACAATAAAACTTCAATTATCTAGTTTCACTGGAAAATTCTGCCAGACATTTAAGGAAGAATTAATATGTTCTCTTTCAGAAAAATAAAAGAGGAGAGACTATTTTCCAATTTATTTTATAAGGTCAACATTACCCTGATACCAAAACCAGATAAAT